CTTTCATGTTTTCTAATTTATTTGAATATACTTCGATACGCATTAATGGTTTATTGTTTCAGAATTGCGGTTTTAATTTTATTAAAATCGGAAAACGATATCATAAAGCTGTTCTAAAAACATAAAATCATCAAAATCGGAATCGGAATAAAAATATAATTAGTACTGAAGTTTAGTTAGTTTTTTTTAATTATGGTACTAATGTTGGGGTACCTTTACTGTATTTAAATAAAAATTTCTGATATCAAACAAAAATACCTCTTTACGAGGTAAAAAAGTCGTGGCTTTAATTACGCGTCCAATTACACCTCGGTCATCTCAAAAGATATTCACCAAATAAGATTTGTAAAGCATTTTTGAAATTACGTTTGACGTTTGTTTGCACGGTGAAATATTTTGAATTAGGGTCTCAAAACCCGTTTTAATGTATTAAACAGCTCGCCCTGAAGAACGTTAGTTCTACCACTTTTTGGAAAACTCGCTTATTTAGCGAGAAAACGGCCACAACTTCCAAACAACTAAAGCTACGGGTACGTACTCCATATAGTTGAAAAGGTATTTTTAAGGGCTTTCTTGGCATAACTTTTTCAAGATTAAATAACTATGAAATTATAGCCAAAAATAGGTTTTTTATTCACATTTTGTCGATATTTTTGAAAAGGATTTCTTTTTGTTCTTGTTATTACGGAACTTTTGATGTTTAACACATTTTTCTCTTAAAGTCGCGTTTGGGCGTTCAATCTACTTCGCTTCACTTCTACGACAGTCATATTGATTTGACTCCGTTTCATGGTATTGGGGTACTGTAACCTTTGACGCACAAAATTTCTGATATTAAATTTTGCGACTAAAATCTATTAAGCAATCAACTTAATTAACGCACATTTTAAAATTTTTTTATTCGGCACGCTGCAACAAAAATATGCCTGTGTATATAATAAAACTTTGTTGGAGCGCAACGAATAAAAAAATTTTGAAATGTTTATTTATTAAGTTGAATGCTAAATAAATTTTCACGTTTTTGTTTGTCTATAAACCTGAAACGGAAGGACGCAAATGTCACCGTCGCAGAGCTGTAAACTTTTGACTGAAATTATATTATAGTACCTTCTGCAAGAGTATAAAGTTGTGGTTTGTTATGATCTGTCTCTTTGCCCGAAAAAAATAATTAAATATTAATGCAATTTAAAAACTAAATGTTCATGTTCTGTAAATATTTTTCGTTTCAGGAAGCCAAAGGCTTTAATGGTCATCTAAAAATCATAACTCGTCGAAAAAACGATAGAATGCAACAGGAGCGAAGTCTTTTAAAAAAGACGGTATCCAAGTTTGCTGGCGAGAAATCCCTTTCCAAGGGTTTATCCGCCAAAGAAGTATCATCCAGCTTGCAAATACAGCAGCGTGTTGCCTTTCCAGTATTTCTTAAATCACACCTGCATTCTTTCCGGCCGCAACAATCTCGACAGACGACTTTCAGCCCTAACACGCTTTCAGAGTCTAATAAATGGAGTTATCCTGTCGGCAGTATTGGACCCCTATGTTGTTACGAAACTTTGGCAAATGAAAATAGTGTAGACCTTAAGTAACTTTTTGCAAATACAGAAATACACTCAAAAGAATAAGAATCTTAGTTTACTACGGGCGTCATTGCAAAAAAAGTATTGAAAAGTTTTCAGTAAAAAAACCGTTCTTCCTAATTGCGTCTGACGTTAAAACCAGTAATAGCTTTTGTAAGTTACTGGACCCAGAAAAATAATCTGAGTGCGGTTTTATTGAGTAATGACTCAAGTCCAACCTCGTGGAAGAACTAAACTGTCATTTCGAATTATCGATTTAATTTTTGTAGTGTAATCGACTATTGACAGCCGTAGTAAAAAATTCACTATTTATTCTCATTATAATTTTTTTTTTTTTTTGTTGCACTAAACCTATTTAAAAATAATTCAAATTAAAAATAATAATAAAATTGACAAACGACATGTGTTAATTTGGTTAAATTGCATTTAACCTAGGGAAAAAAAAACACCAAGTAAAACAAACAATAAAGGACTTTAGTTATGACTAAAAAGTATTAACGACTGAAATTCGAACGACTATATTAAATACCTATGGTATAGCTGCCATAAGACTAGTCGGAAATCAAAAACCGACAAAACTTTTTTTTGTATATTGCCCTCCACTCCAATCAACGCAAAATTACAAGTTAATATTAATTCAAATCGTAAAAAAAATATTTGATGTTGGCATAAAACTATAAAATTATTTTTTAACATTCAGACATTTTTATTAAAAACCAAGAGAGTACGCTATAGTCGAGTTACCCGACTTTTAGATACCCGTTACTCAGCCAACAAACATCAAACTAAGTGTTCCCCTATAACCCCATCGAAGTTTAGGTGTCGCCATCTGTCGAACGGCACAAAAAACACTAAAGGTTAAGTGCGAGCAGCACTCCCACCCCTCGCTTACAGTTATTTCATTTGTCTCTCTACATCAGCGATTACCGGCAGAACAGCGGCAGAGGGGAAGCAGAGGTGGGGCAGAACGGCGGCAGAGGAGTTCACGCTTTTAACGGGTATAAAAAAGATTACATATATTTAAATCAGCATGGCATATAACCGTCCGCCGATCACCCTACACATACAAACACTGTCCATTCTAATACCTACATACATAGCTTCTCGGGTCTTCCCCAGATACAAGATCGTTCGAAATTAAAGCGCCTACAGAGTTGTCACCTATACAGATTCATTAATGAAACCAGTACCTAAGCCTCGTTTGGGTATTCAATAGGGATCGACCAATTTTGTATACTCAAAACGTTTTGAAATTCTCCGTAGTTTAACTGCTCTTTCTACCAGTACCTAAAAGAGCCCTGCCTGAATCAATAGCATCATCTAAGTAGTACTGTTACTACTGTGCTTCCCAGTTAAGAGATTCGAATACTCCGAATCCTGTTTTAAAAGATTCGAATCATCAAGTCACAGTAAAAATTTAATTGCTCACACTGTGGATTCGAGACAATGTTTCGAAAATTTTGAGATGATTAGCCGAAGCGCCTACTGTTATTAATTTTGTTGATTTTTTGTATCAGTGTCAGCATAAGTATATGAGAGTATCAGTTAGCAACCAAAACGCTTAAAATTGAAAATGTTGGTTTTGTAGACAATGTAAGTAAATATAATAAATGTTTCAGGCAAATAATAATTAACCTGTTGATGTTGTATGTTTTACATTATAAGACATTCCTGGGAAGTACACCGTTAGTGAGGAACGACCACCAAAACCGGGAAGTTAATATAATTTTTTTTTATATACAGTAGTCGTTTAGACTTTTTACCTTCGAATCGTCTCGAATCATTGAAAAAATTAGACATCGAATCACCGAAACATCAAAACATACATATGTATGCGAGACATACTGTGTCAGAAAGATCTAACACTGTTGATTAATGCATGGCTCTAGTACCTAAATTGTGCTTATCGTTCTGTAGTGTACTCAACTCTGACTTTGCCTTGATTGTACTTCTGCGCGTTGCCTCATTTGCATGTAAGCGCCTTGATTATGTTTTGGTGCCTGGACTTCCAAATAAACTGATCGTCCCAGAAAAGGGGCACGATAACTATTCTTGCAAGGCTGCACCATTCTTGAAAGCAATGCAACAATTTTTGGAAAGCCTCCTTTCGTCCAGTGCTATCACTGTACTGAGGTAGTTGAAAAGTTGGTTCAGGAAACATTCGACGGATATATGCTACTACATTTATGCCCTCTTTCCACACAGTCGTTTGGATGTGCTCTGTGAAAATCGGAGTTTCACATTTGTTGAAAATTCCAGCCGTCCCCAACGGATGGACTGTGTCAAATTTTAATGGCGGACTAACTGGGAAGTTTTTGGAACGGCAAAACCTTATGGACCATCCCTTCAACGGATGATGGAAGGTGAATGGATCTCTGTAAAAATACGCTATTATGGGCCATCCTTTCAACGGGTGGTGGATGGATCTCTCTGGAAAGGGGCTATCAGATTCCCGCAAACCACATCCACCATCCAATAATAGCCTATCTGAACACCTGTGGCTATTCAAAACATAATCAAATATTGCTGACTTCTTTTAATATATGTATAATGAGCCAAAGTTGTTCAGATCAGCTGTTATCGGATAGTGGATGTGCTCTGTGGAAATCGGAGTTTCACATTTGTTAGAAATTTCAACCGTTTCCAACGCATGGACTGTGTGGAAAGAGGGCATTAAATGTATGGTGCGGCACCGTTGCGGAATTTGGTCTTCATCTCAATAACGCCGCTAGTGTGAATAGTTTTATATGGATTTGTGTGCTATATGGCTGGGAGTTTTGACAGCGCCTAAAAACAACGAACAACAGTCGGTGGCGTGAACAGCATTTATTATGGGGTTTCTTTTTACGCTATCAACCTGTTATTAAAATACGAAGATAATGTTTAATACTTTTTATCTGAATTTATATGGACCAGCTTATACGCCTATACGACAAAAAAAAATTCGCATAGAATCGTACGATAACGAACATAAATTGCCTTCTAGGGAAATATCGACAATTTTTGGCATAGCAAAAAATTATAACACTGGATTGTGGATGGTGTGCTCTGTGGGAACAGGCTCTAGACAAAACTGAGTTTTGTGTAAACAGGGCCATTGTTCCATTTTTAAAGTTCCAAGACCGATGTTAATTTTACTATCCGTGGTGGTGTCGATAGGAACCGATTATTTTTACTGTCATTATTTCCCACACCTAATTTGACGTGATTTTCACAATACATATAAAATTAACAGAAATTTGCGACAATATATTTGTTTACTTAAATGCATTTGAACAAAATAACAATCAGCACATTTCAAAAAATTTAATTCATTTGTGCATGTAAAGAATATATAATATAAATATAGAGAGATATATAAATATATATATATATATATATATATGCGCGAGCGTGTGTGTGTGTGTGTGTGTGTGTTTGCATAAGTGGTGCATAAAAATTGTATATTCATCAAAATAGCGAATTTTAAACATATAAAAGCGATTTTTTTTTGTAATTGCTTGGACTATTATATCGTTCGGTTATTTGATATCTTAAAACTTTGGTTGGTCTAAAAAATTAACCAAAATATAGACTTCAACAATGGATATGTCGAAATCTAATACGAGGTATGTGTTTAACTTTAAAATGCTAACATTATTTTAAACTTGTACATATATTAACATGAATGTAACATTTTTAACATTTTCCGTGTGTTGAATGGTTGAATAAAAGAAGTCAATTTGCTAAATCATTTTTCTCTTCTCAGGTACTCAAGAGCCGACCTGTTAGCCCTGCGATATGAAGGCAAAAGTAGACAGCGTCCTCAATGTACAAATCGAACTGAACTACAGACACTGGGTTTTTGGAAAGTCAATTTAAACGCAGTTTCATTAGGTGTGGCCAGCAACTATTCAACTCAAAATAAAAACCGCTTGTCCCCAGAGACAGATAACTCGAGTCTGAACTGTTCCAATATCGGCTCAATAAGCTCGCGACGCGCATTGAGAAACCGGGAGCGAGCGAATAACTATTACCAGCGTTTTGTACCTACCGATTCCCTCCAGATAGGTGGAGAAGAAAAGGATAAGGACGCACAGACCACCCATGGCGCCGGAGGACAGTCGTTTAAGTCACCCGTCATCGACCATCGCAGCATTTCGTCGTCGCATCTAATGCCGGCCTTTGCGAAGAGGCGTTTTGCGGCAACGAGCGTTTGCAGTAGCGCCGAAAACAACGAGGCGACAGTCAACTCAGGTGATGATGCTGCAAGTGCATCCCAGAGAAGAGAAGGCAAGGGCAAGGCACCCGACTCCCCTAGTCGAAGAGGAACCGAGCTAGACAGTTCTGAAACTCGTTTGAGTAATGTGCATGCGGATCATGACCAGTGCTTGTCATCTTCGCCAACATTCGCTTCGCGCCAGGAGAGGCGGATTGGTAGTGGTCGTCTGCTGCCCAGAAGTGATAATTGGGAATATAAGGGCCAGAAGACAAAGGATACGAGTATTGAGGCTGAGAAGGATACGTCTCTAAATGGAAGTGGTGTTAGTCAACATAATCAAAACCAGAATCGCCATCGCACATTTAGCGGAAGATTGGTTGATCGAGTTCCCGAGCACAGTGATCGCCGTTTTCAGTATGACCCCAAAAGGTCGGTTGATCGACAGGTCGTAAGTAGTCGACGCATATCTAATAAGGAGTCGTGCAGCAATCAAAACCGTGGCAAGCGCACAAACTCTTATCACATACACGAAGAACCAGAATGGTTTAGTGCCGGACCAACATCACAGCTTGAAACAATTGATCTGCACGGCTTTGAGGAGCTGGATAACAATGAGGAGCGTTTCGATATGCAAGATCACAGTAATCAACATCCACAAAATGATATTAGTTTGACCGCTCAACCAACCACTGATGAAGCCTCGAGAAGAAGTAGCAATGTCAGTTTAAATTTAATCGATGCAAAACAAAGTGAAGATGTTAAAGATACTGGGGAAAATATTCTGACTTCCGTTCAAAACTCATCGGAACTCAGCAATGAAAATAAAAACCAACCAAGACAGATACAGTGCAGCCAAAGTTCTGAAAGTGAATTCAATTTTGATGCCTTTCTTAACATGCATCCTTTGGATCATTCTCTTATGGTAAATATGATGCGTTAATTTACTTAGTTGGCTATGGCAAGTTGAACACTTTTTACCAGTTAATCATTCAGGTTACGAAACGCGTATATTTCATTAGTATAATAAGTGTGTATGTGAAATGTAGAAGCACCAAAAATGTGTAAACCTATTGACCCTACATACTCGGTTTTGGTTTTCAATGGCCTTGAGCAAGAAAAGAGTATCTTTAAGGGATCCGAGTAGGTAAAGCCAAGTTACTGTCCTTGGATATAAGTGCAGATGGGTGTACAGTAAATTGAGATATTTTTAAATATATTTATTCTTTATTATACCCTTGCAGCAGTTATTATAATTTCGGTCAGAAGTTTGCAACGCAGTGAAGGAGCATTTTCTACCTTATAAAGTATATATATTCTTGATCCGCATCAACAGGAGACTCGTTCTATGTCCGTCTGTCCGTCCGTCCGTACGTTTCTACGCAAACTAGTCTCTTAGTTTTAAAGTTGTCTGCGTGAAACTATCCCAAAAGTAGATATTATATAAGTCATAACGAGCCGGATCAGATTGTTTTGAACATAGTAATGGTTTGAAATTTCAGAACTACGCTTTTTACTTTATTAAAATCGGAACGAACGATCAAATAATTAAGCTAAAAATCATCATAGCTTCAATGTTTTCAAAACATACCCGCTTGTTAACCGAAATTTAAAGTTAAAGAATATTTAATCTTGGCAATAGTATAGCAAGGGTATTAAATTTGTCTTGCCAAAGTTTGCTTCATTTCTTCTTGTGTATTAGTTTTTGTATATTTTATTTGTGAGTGAGTCTTATGCCGAGCGGACCAATTAACAATACCTTTTATGAACCACTTATACAGAGTAATGATGGCGTTGAAAAAAGTGACGCAAAAGGGACATCACGTTTTAGCCGATGGTTTCGTAATAAAGAACCTGCCAACAATAACGAGCTTTCGGGTTTGCGAGAACCGCATGCCCAAGAAAAACATGGTAAGTGAACATCATAAAATATTAATAACCTAAAGACATTACATTCTAACACTTGACTTTGTCTTTAAGGTATTCCGAGTGTTAAAGATTTGGAAGCACAAATGACTAAAGTGGACATGCGGTCTGATTTTGTTAATCCAATATCGGGACCGTTCTCTCAGATAGTGCAAGTGGAAAAACCTATTGCCAGAGACACTGAGGCGTTCAAAAAACTATTGCAACAGCTGGGCTCTCAAACCAGGATGCCGCATCCTGGCAATGACGTTTACCATATAATAAACCATTTAAATGTAGCAAACCACGACCAGCTTGAGTCTAATCCCCAACAACCAGCGTTAAATGTCCACGTGCCAATTATACCGAACAATAATCATTTGTTTACGCAAAAGCGAATGGAAGTTCAACATCTAATGCAAAGTAAGATATTCAATATTTGACTAAGTCGAACAAGGCAATCCGTAATTTCATTTATTCGCAAAAACATAGATCTACATTAGTTAGACAAAAACCATAACGGCTCCAATTAACCGAGTATAAATTCACTATTGATGCATAATTCAGTTTTAAGGCTTTCGTAATTACTGCTATTGATAAACAATAATATTTTTGGAAAAAAATGGAGCTTTAAAACGTTAGTACTTAAAAAGAGGTAAAAAAAAATATTTTAAATAAATTTATCATTAATATTGCTTTTTTTTGCACTGAACAATATGAAAAAAACTGATTTTATTAACATTGGATAAAGAAATTGTAAATTGCAAAAAAAAATGACTAAACAATTTTGTATGAATGAACAACAGTTATTTCAAATGCTTTTTGAAGGGTCTAATATCTCCAAAAAAATTATTGGGAATTTTTTTGCCAGAGTTTAAATATTTTATATATGTACAATTCAGTATTTCAAATGTTGCCCGCACTTTTTACAAATGTCAACAACTTTTAAATAACCATATATGCAATTTATTTTTGAACTTTTTTCATCTTAGTCTGAGCACCCGAATATAGCCAACGTAGAAAACAAAATAAAGTCTCAACATTGTCTTTTATATATTAAATAGGCTTGGTTTGTGGCGACGTTTCCGTGGATTTTCTGGAAAAGGAGTTGGGTAACCCTAGCACACCAGCTCCTACAAAGGAAGTTATTGTAACAGTACTTCGCGAATATTCCCACACTAAAAGAAATCCTGTGGCCACAGGCGATCCCCACATGTTCACTCATTCATCGTTTCTTCAAGCTCAACCAGTCCACCAGCATTACTCTGAAGGTTTGTATTTTAGGACTAACAAGAAAGAAAGCAAACTTTAAACATTCTTTATATACATATTCCGATTTTTTATCGTTAACAAATTTAAACGGTAATTCTGAAATAATAATTCATTAATATATCGAAGTATATTCAAATGAATTGAAAAAAGGAAAAACAAATGTTTGGTTATTTATTTTTCCAATTGTTCCCATGGTATAGTCGTCCGAATTAAAACAGTAATTGTGAAATGTCTACCCATTACTATATCTAAAATACTATGAAGAACATAAAAGAAAAAGCTTGTAATATAATTTTTTCCGATAGTTCCGACAAGAAGACAACTTTTGAGAATGTTTCATGCAGATAGTTTTAAAATTGAGAGACTAGTTTGCTTAGAAACTGACTGATCAAGAACATATATACCTTACAGGGTTCGGAAATGTCTCCTTCACTGCTTTGCAAACGTCTGACAGAAATTATAATACCCTCTGCTATATGCCTGAAGCTTTCACAAAAACTTATTTATATTGCAGCTAGTATATAGCTATCTAATAGCTGGCATAGGAATTTCAGAAAATGTATAGAAAAATTATCGAAAATCGATCAACTTTCGTTGCTTTTCAATATTTAAGCATTTAATTGGAGACAAAAATGTTTTAACGATTTCAAAAAGTTTATATAACTTAAAAAAATGTATTACAAAATCATCTTAAAAATCGAAATAAAGTCGTTTTATAGAATAATACATATTTTGGGCAAAGATTGCCCCCTTTCTTGTGTATCATTATAGTAACATATTAGGGACTTTATTCAACCTAACTAAATTTCTCCCAATTATTTTTTGCATTAATAAGGTAATTAAACCGCCTTTTTTTTTTTAGTTTTAAGTACTTTTACTCGACAGTGACAGTTTCAGGTGTGCATATTATAATTTTATGTACTTTTGACTAAATACCTTTTTTTAAAGTATTGAAAGAGTAAACTTTTTTTTATGTTTTTATAGCGAAATAGATAGACATTTTTCCGGATAATAGAACTAACTTAAAATGTTTTTTTATTTTATTTTAGAATTGCAAAACTCTACAAGCCATCCGATTAATCAGCTTATTGGCCACGGAAATTCGCCCACTCCTTTGGCCTTCACTCCTACATCAGTTCTAAGGAAAATGACGGCCGATAAAGACACAAGTCAAACACCTAGCTCATCTCATAGCCAGCACCCACAATATCAAATGCACCCACAGCATGCCAAGCAACTTAGTACGCATTCAAGCGTACACGAGCCGCAGCCGTCGGCAACTATGGCCGTACAGCCTCGAATGATTTTAGGTGGTGGAAACTTTTCCATTGGCCCAAACGCCCAACAAATGTCTCCCAACTTGCCACAGTGTCGTAATCAACAAATGTTGAAATGGACGCCTGGTAATATGCAGATGGTTCAAGGAAAAGCATTTGGTAAGTGTTAAATTAAACTAATTTTTTAAACCTTATTTAAATACATACTTTTGAAACCAAGTTTGGCAAGTTGGCGGCACTCGTTTTGCCAATTTGGCTCACATTATGGTGATATGGGTTTTAAGTGAAAAATGTTGTTGGTCTTAAACAAAACTGTAGGTTTCGAATGGGAAATAAATTAAAATAATTACATTTTTAATTAAATAATAATCTGGCCCTTCCAAAACGCGAATATGCCAATCAACAAATATATTATTTGTATTTCCTTACATCAGTTACCACCCAACTATATCCCCGTTGTTGGTGCAAAAATACGTCTTTCTTAACTTTTTTTTTTTTTTTTTTTTTTTTTTTTTTTACTATTTTTCACTATTTTTTTGTTTGTAAGAACCCCACAAATATTTTCCATTTTTTCTTCTTCACCTTAATTTCGTATAAAATAATAGCTTTCATTTTATTTTTAATGTTATTGCTAGCAAATTTTACATTTTTGCTTGATATACTCTGGACCGGATTTCACTTCGTTTTGCCTGAAGAGTCATTTAAGTTGCCAACTAATGCTCCGAATTTACTAAGCAATGTGATAGTTGCGTAGTAACCAATGATTCGCACTCAAAAGCAGTTGAGATTATGAACTTAGAACCCTTTTTTGAAAATAAGTGCAAGTTTTGGTTCATTTTTCCAGAATCTGCAGGTCTCCCGTCTAATATTAACATCTGCCATCGAAACAAGTAGAGCAAAGCAAACCTTAGGGTTGTCTCCAAGCAAAATAAATACAATCGCAGCCACAAGACGCGCATGATAGGCTTACTTGCGATCATTTTGAAGTATTGCTGACCAAAAGATTTTTGTATATAGGCATGACAGCATCACATGCCGTTGCTTAACAATACGCTTAAATTCGGCATTTTAAGATTTGAGTCCCGGAGCCTGAGCGTTCTGCATTGCGCTGCCAATAGCACGCACCGACTTCGAAAATATCTAAAAGAATTGATTGCATTTCTAACTTAGGGCAGGGCTCTTAGGGGCTTCTTTGGCATTGCGGAGTAGGGGTTTGCTGCGGAATTTACTCTACCACTTTCTGGTTACTTTAAAAATGTCTGTAGCGTATCTGTACTTTCAATCGATGACTCTCTACTGGACCAGTTGGCTGTTGAGGTATCTGGCTCGTCCGGGAAAACTTTAATAGTTGATTACTTTACTCCGGAACTTTTTGTGTTTTTGAATGAATTTCTATATAATCAATATGAATACATACATATGAATACTTCTTACACCCTACGACATTTTAAATCTCTTCACAGTTTTCATTTAAAATATTAGCAAAAGCGGTCCAAACTTTACTTCTTCCACGCTTCTGGTTTGTAGTAAATTTACCAGACAACCAAGGCCCTGATTTCGTCCAGACTCAGATGTGTTACAAATCAAGATTTGTTAAAATAACAAGCATTTCCAACTCAGCAAAAAAAAAAAAATAAAAAATTAAAAAAAAATAAAAATAAATAAAATATAAATTAAAATTTCCAAATGAAAAATTATCACAACTAGGATGTTTAAGCTGTTTGAGTGGTTTCTGTTCAAGCTTGATTGACTTGTTTGCTTTGTTGTTGTGAGCTACTCGAGCTGAGCTGTTCCAAAGAAGTCAGTAGAAATCATAGTTCATGACTTGAGCTGTTACTCTATGATTCCATGGCAAATGATTCCAAAGTCATAGACAAACAGAATCAGGCTTATTAAAGTGTACAAATAAAGAACTTACTTATATTATTACCCACTTATTGCAGGTCGCCCAATACTGAAAGGAGGTCTTAATTCTATGCCGTCACAAAACCCCACAGTTCCTTTTTCCAATCACAAAATCGAAATGCAGTCGGTTCACCAGCATCAGCTACAGCAACAACAACCACTTAGATATATGTCTACCCAATCTGTGGAAACAATTTTAAATACTGAAAATGTGCAGCAATGGCACCATCTTTGCCTGCAACAGCAGCCGCAACAGCAGCCGCAACAGCAGCCGCAACAGCAGTCGCAACAGCAGCCGCAACAGCAGCAGCAGCAGCAGCATCAGACACGACCACAACCTAGACATAGGGTAATTTATGGGGACATGCATCGTCAATCGAATCTTCAAATGTCACCACCAGTACCAGGTAAGAAACTGCGATAAACATTGTTCAAGATCACCAATTATTTTGTTTTAATTTATAGCTTTTTGTGAGAGTTCCGATTCTGGAAACGTGGTCAAAAATAATAGCGTTCCATCTCCCATCTACCATAGGGATGATCGAATGCCATCACCAACCAATAATCAATTGGCCCAATGGTTTTCCCCGGAGCTCCTTGCAAAAGCTTCAGCTGGAAAACTGCCTCTTATAAATATGAGCGAAACGATTAGTTTAGCAGAATTTGAACGTAGAATTCAACATTCCTCAGCCGTTGTGCACAATTAATTCTTTAAGAAAATTTAAGTTCAAAGCAGTATAACTATAAATTAAATTAAATCAAATACATCAATGTTTTAAATTCATTTTCTGTTTATGCTTAGAAATATTTTGGTGTATATTGGCACGAAGACTATTTAAAATGGCTTGGAAAATGTAATTTGGAGCATGTAAAAGTAGTTTTCTATAAATTAATATAAATTAACTTAAACTATTTAAAGTATTTGCAGATCGAAGTTGATTATATTGTAAAAAAATATTTTACTGTAAATAATACACAACCAATTAAATAAGCTTAAACAAATCCTGGACTCGAACTCGTAATCTCAGTGGATTGAGAAAGAATTGCAAAATAAAAGAGGTTGTACCTAAGTTGGGTTAAACTCGTAATCTTTAAAAGGTTGGGCACTCAAAATTTTAGTTTGAAAAACTTAAGCCTTTTATAAACCTCTCGGAAACTATAAAAGATAGAAAATTAGATTTAAACAAACTCTACTGATGTCTGCACAACTCAAATTTATTTTAATCATTGGCTTGCCTACAAAGAGCTACTGCAGATAGTTTTTATTCGTAGTTAATTGTTTTATCCTGAATTACCTGTTATTTTTGTTTTCAGACCATTGTGGAATTTTATAAATACTGTGCTTCCGGAAACAGTGAACTAATTATAATCGGGGTGTTTACTCTGCCGAATTTGTTTACTGTTTCGGGTGGAAAAAATAATTCTCAATCTCTCAAATATGCTCTTAAATGCATATTAATACCTTTATTCAACCTCACATTATTTTCAATAATTTGTTATTATACATACACTACGATTATAACATTCAATTTACTTTTCGTTGAGGCAAATGAACCAGTTAGTTTTGTAATTGTTGCAAGGGTTAAAGTGTTTGGAGTGTTTTCTTTTTGGAGCTGACCTTTAAAGTGACCCAGACCTTTTACTGAGTTCAGCAGCCGAAAAGGAGGCTTAAAGTTTTGGCTGTACACCCAATTTGGTTTTGGCTTCTTATCTATTGACCGGCTGAATTTTTAAACTACATATGCACAGAATTCATGCTTTGGACACTTAAAACAGGGGAGTTCCTCGGATCTGTCCGAATCCATTACCCACCTTAACGTTCTGCGCTGAAGATAAATACTTCTATATGAGCAGATCCGAATTTCTCAGTTGGGGATATTGAAAAGTTAATATTGTTTTTGATTAATTTGCGTAACTTACTTGTTTTTGGTATTTTAAGAAGTGAGAAAATTCGTGTATTTAGGTAGTAAACAAGAAAATTCTTTTATTTTACTTATGTGTGTTTTTAAACGATCTGTAAATTTGAAACCTTTATTAAACTTACCGCGGTGACGATAAAACGGTCTTATATGTTGAATTTTTAAATTGTTATGTCCCAAATACCTCATGTTAAAAACGAAAACTTTGATGAAGCTGTCCTGAGAATAGTTTTTAAATACGTCAAATCCACGTAATGATAACTTGACTGTATAAATGGGAAATAATTGTCTTATTTTCATATAAACTAGTCACGAAAATGGTATTTCGTGAGCCCTTGTTATATTCCAAGAAACGGAGTAAAATACTACGATAATTATACTATTTTATTGTTTAAATTTTGTATTGATAACTTAGCTTTTAAATTTGTTTGTTTCGACTAAATATTGTTCATAATGTAAATACAAATCATTTGCACTTAGATACTGTTTAGGATTACACGTTAAAGTACATTTTCATAACGAATTATCAGCTAAATATTAAAAACACTTCAAACGCCTGAATTGCAATGCGCTGTGTTCTGTAAACTTCTACATTCTTGTAAAATAATTGAACAAAAATAATTAAAAAATTAAATTTTCTAAATTAGGTCAACATTTTTTTTAAATTATGATAACTTAATTACTTTTTGTTTTACTGTTTAACGTCGAGAAATAACGTGTACACGACAATCGAATCTAATTGTTATTACAAAGGTGACCTTATCTATCTATGATTAACATGTAGTAAGGAAAATGTGTATGTACAAACACGAGATTATAATGGCTTAATTAGTAACTCTTAATAACAAATAACATCTGGGTTTGATTGAGTGACATAAACATTTTAATAATTTAACGTAAAGACATTTTCTAAACTTACATTTTAAAGCTATTTGCGCTATTCCAATTTTGAGTTTCGAGAGCAGAAGCGAGTATGAATTTTGGGGCTTGTCTGTCCTGAGTCTAAAAGCCTAAATCCACTGCAACGCTTTGAATGTGCCTGACTCCGTTGGTCCATATCTGCTAAAGCGGATTGCTTCGAGTTAAAGGTAAAAGAAAAGTGTTGTAAATTCCCAAAAAAAATACCATTACTACCACAAACACAAAAATTCTTTTTCTAATTATCCGTCTAAAAATAAACAAGACTATTAGATACCCGTTACTCAGTTTTGCCGGCAGAGCAGCGGCTGAGGACCTAATAACTCAATAACTAAAAAAATAATAGCTTGTTTTTAAAAATGTTTGTGTCCACCGATAGGTATAGCCTAAACATACATATACACTAATCTCTAGTAAAAGTCCTTTACCATTTCTCATGTGACATGGAAAACTTTCTCGATTTGTGGGCTTTCGAGTGGGCGTGGATACGTTTTGAGCCTGCGCTGCTTAGGTATAAATAGAATCTGCATGTTAGCTATTATAGTTTCTGAGATTTCTTCATTCATACGGACATGGCTAGGTCGTTTCGGCTATTGACCCTGATCGAGAATATATATTCTTTATAGGGTCGAAAACGCTTCCTTCTTCCTGTTACACACTCTTCAACTTTACTATTTTTCCAATTCCAAGAAAATTTGTATGTCAAATATTAAGTACATCATTTCATACTATGCTAGATTCGGTTGGCTGCAAGGAAACACGTCTGTATAGACAAAAAGCTAAAATTTTGTATTGGTTTACACAAAAATAAATCATTTTTTTTCACAAAATACGAACCATTTCCGATTTTGAAGGTGCCATCGTGACGTTGGGAAAAACACCACTATAGATTCAGAAGTTTTTTTTATCAAACTTATATTGTTTATAGCTGAAAGTTTCCGAAAAGGAAAGATCCGTTAAAACACAGCATGGAGTAAACATGGAGTATATGTGATAGCGATCAGCGCGTATTTCGGTCATTTTTGAAGCCTCGATAAATTTATGCTCGAAGGACTACGATTTCTAAAGAATCAAAATTTAAAACGTTCGAACTCATAAATCATCAAAATCACCAATCAAAACACTACAGCAAAACTCAGTAACCAAGCACCAATTCAGAGGACCAACCACATGACTCTTCTCGTTTATTCCCTTGGAAACTAACCATAATCATGCAACTTCTCACAAAACTAATATAACACCAAAAATAATTCAATGGAATATTTAAGGTTACAAAAATAATATCGGATGCTTAGCCAATCAACCCATAAATCTATTTTTCACAAAAGTCCAACACTCTTCTCAGCCTATAAAACAGTTTAACACTTTAAACAAACTAACAAACCTTCCCACATACTACGGATTCTAGACGCAAATCTACTGCTAAGTTTATAGGCCGCACAGATTTTATGCTGTCAACACTTTACTCATTTATTCATATTTTTCCCCTTTGTTACTGCCCCTGATTATGTTAGCTAACCTTTAATCTTAAGGAAGGAAACTTTGATGCGAAATTATTGCTAGCTATGCAATTTACCAACAACGGAAATAACAGATCTGCCATATTAAAAACTTGAAGGAACCAATTTCGAATAAATATGGCCAATCGGGTATTAAATGGAACTGCAGGTTCAGCAGGATCAGCGCTCCTCCTATCAGCTCTTTCTCTCCCTACCTTTACCTGAACTATTGATTCGATTTGAGAAAATTTTAAAGTTTCAATAAATAATAATCGAATAAACATATATTTAATATCTGACTTCTACCAGGTATCAGAGGGACATGAAAGAGTTTTCGAGATATCGACGTTTATACGCTCAGGAGACGAACTCGGCTTTCGATTCTGATCAAACTCTATAAATCCAATATACCTGGTGAAACAAGGACCTTCAGATAAATTTAAATCCAAACAAGAGAGGAAGCGAACATCGGCAAGTCAATGTTTATATAAAACTAAAAGCCTGTTTCAGAGACGTGGAGGCTTATACGGACAGACATGGCTGTATTGAATAAGCTATTGATGCTGATCAAGGAAAAAGAGGCAACGTTTTGAAACAATCTTAAACCAAATTCTGTACGGATATACAGACCCTCACGGCTAGATCGGCTTGGCTAATGATCCTGATCAAGAAAATACGTATATACAATGAAGAGTTGAAAACACTTTGTTCACCATGCTTTTCAACAAGGTATAGATTCTTCATCTTAGACTAAGTCGTAATCAGATATATTTAATTAGTTACCCAAATGGAGCTGTCTATTTTGGCGAATGGGAGTACACACTTTCTTCAACATGCTTTTCAACTAGATTAAGATTCTTCATCTTAGACGAATTCACTATCAGATGTAATTTTTCAATTCTCTAAATGGTACTGACTATTTTCGGCGAATGGAAGCATTTCGTAACTTATAAATCTTTAGACATTTTTCTTACACTCAACTATTTCAGTATGTGGACATTATACCTCTTGAATAGTGATATTAATATAAAATAATTATGTATATTTCCATAAGATAACTAGTCTTTTCTAAAAAGCATCGGTTGTTTATCAATATTAAAGTGTGATATTTCTTGGTTTACCATATACCTTAATTTTTTTCTTGGTTGCAGATTGGTTCCACACATTCGCATTCTTCAGCCAGAAACTCGCCATTACTGTATTCACTGCTTTTGTTCACAGCGGCCTTTTGACCTGCGACTTCATCCACGTTGGGGCTGTTCTGTGTAGGAAGGACACTTGACGATGCTGTGGCACCTGCCGCCCCTCCTGTCGGTACAGTGGTGCCTGCCTGCGTGCGACTGTATCCAGAACTGGTTGGGACACCCTGGGCACCAGCGGCCGCTGAACGCCTGTAGACGGTGCTGTTCATGGTCAACTTGCGGACGTTCTTGTCCGGGTGAAAGACGAGGATATATACCTTGGGTGAATATAGGCATACCAGAGCAACGGACGCACTTAGGCTTATTGAAATGCACAACGTGGTAGTTTGTACCTGAAAAATACAATTCCTTATCTCAATACTATGTTTTAAATTTATGTAGGTCATTTTTAAATCCTTGACTTTAGGCTAATTTTAAATTATAAGCATTTGTGGCTAGGAACTTTATAACAGACAAGCAAAATTTTCATCGCTGATTTTCGATAAGGACCCACGATTTTTGTTGTGTGCATTGTCATCGGTTTAAGCTTTAAGCCTGCAAATCATCTCATATTTTCGGGTTCTTCCTAAGTGCAATCGTTGTGTAGTGGTTGTGTGGTTGTGAAGTGGCTTTAACCCGACTCTAGACAAGATTTTTATTTATTTATCCGCCAGAAGTTTGCAGTGAAACGTATCCCGACCCTATAAGGTATATATGTTCTTCATCAGCATCACTAGGAGAGTCGATCTAGCCATGTCCGTCTGTCCATCTGTCCGTCCGTTTCTACGCAAACTAGTCCCTCAGTTTATTAGTACATACCTCATATGAATTTCCAGTTCCAAAGTATATGGGTACAAAGGCTAGCCAGATAATACATGTGGTGTACATGGTAAATCCAATAAACTTTGACTCGTTAAAGTTTTCGGGAATTTTCCTGGTTTTAATTGCATAAACTGTGCAAATCGTGATAAGAATCATGTTGTACAGCTGGGAGAAGAGGAAGGACATGTCCTGAATTTTGCACTTTAAGATCACTTCCGTTCGATCTGGGTAATAGAAGCGTGTTCCAGGGGGTTCAACTACCATCCAAATCATTGTGATAAGCACTTGTATAGCTAAAGAGTTGGAATATAATATAATAGTTATAATGTAAACGCCGACTTTAGTTAAATTTGACATCTTACCAATCAGAGACGCTGTTATCACCACCTGTGATTGTGGACTAATATACTTAAGGCGCTGGGCTGACTTTGATGCAGAGTGAAAAATTCGTGATATTCGATTGGTTTTCGTAAGCAGAGCACTATATATAATGGAGAACCCAACCCCAATGCCAAACCTCTGTAGCACACAGGACCCAATTGTGGGTTTGGCTATCAGAGCAAAAGTATTACAGTAGCAGACCAGTATCCCAAAGAGGAGGGTATAGCTTAGCTCTCGTCCTGATGCCCTTACCAGTGGAGTATCGTGATTCTTTGCAAAAAGGACTATAACTAAAATTGTCACTGTAATGCCGAATATGGCTATGACCATTGGAATGAGGGCAAACAACGAGTTCCATCGCATGTACTGGATGTCTAGCGCATAGCAGGAAAGCTTGTCACTATAGGGCCACAGTCCTGGGCCGCAGTCTCTACAGGTGAACTCATCATATACGTATTCAAAGGACTCGCAGCTGTCGCATATCCAGCAACAGGTGTCGCCCTATAAGAAGATGGGTTTACAGAATATCACGTGTATAAAATCATACCTGGAATATACCTGTTGCTTTTTTATCATTCCAACCTCACATGGAAGTGAACAGGCCGAAGTGGGTTGCTCAGCTACCTTATTCCACACAACAGTTTCTGAATTTAGCTGCAAGCCATTAAACCATTTGCCAACAACCTAGAATGTTATACAAATTAGTTATCGGGCCACTAAATTTGAGAGATTTCTTGAAAAAATGTAACAAGAAGGATCGTTATAGGCATTACTGACTTTTTGCAGTATCGTCTCTGTTAGTCTGGCTTAAATTTCACATTTTTTAAAATAAGTGTTCGTTTTGGAAATTTGTTTGAAATACTCTATTTCATATAGTTTCCGAGTTATCAACGTTAAAAAATCTTTTAAACGAATCAAATGTACATTGTATCGTAATAATAAAATAAGCAAACAATTAAACTTAAATAGCTTAAGTTTTATTCATTAGATAAAAGATACATTTAATTTTTTAAATAATTTAAAATTGTAGAATGAACTTTTTTGAACAAAATACGTACTCATATCGTACATTTTTAAGAATCGATATTACTTTTGAATGTGCCCGTCAGAGGAAGAGTTGCTGAGTAATGTGCGTTTTGTGTAGTTATAAAACGTGTAAGAAAATGGTGAATCTTCCAATCAGATAATACGACTTTTATGTTTGCCTGATCAAATAGTTATCGATATCAATGTGTTTCAAAAACAATCAGTGGTACTTCTATCGATAATTTTTCAGCTTTGTGTAAGGAGTGAAAAGACTATATCTGAGCTTCGAATAATTGCAATTACTTTGTTAAGCATCTGGTTAACGATGTCATCAAAAATGGTGCAACTACATATGGCTATAAAGTGAATAGATAATAGTTTCGTACTTTATACTGATATCCCGAAGAGTTTTCAAGACGTTGGTAGTTCAAAATATCATATCTGGCCAATCCATCGCCTTGACGATCAAATTTCACTTCGCTCCCAGCAAGATCTTTCCGGGTTAAATTCCATGCGGGGTTAATGAAAGTTAGTAATAAAATTGTTGAACAAAATTAAGTACTCAACCTATGAAAGAAACGTTTAACAGGTAGTTGTTGTAAAAATCCTTTCCGTCGTAATTTGCCATGTCGGAGCACGCTTGAGACTTAGAATCTGTCGATACCTTTCGATACCACACAGACTCGCTGTGTTGGTGCTTTCGTTGTTCAGAGGTTTGGTCGCTTTGCGTGTTACAACGATCATTATGCAAATTATGAAGTGCATACGCAAATGCGTACACAGCATCCACAACGAATTGAGTCTTTGACTCTTGCTCATAACTGCAATTAAAGAAATAATTGGTTATTTCATATTCTTTATGTTGCCATAAGCATTAAATTTTTATAGTGTTAGCTTCGGCAAGCCAAAGTTTTAATACGCTTGCAGTCTAGAGGTAGATCCAAATTGTTGAAATTAATGTATTTAAAATTAAACGAGTTACGTATTTTGTTTACCAAAGTGTTAATATTTTGTAAGTGTGACACAAGTAGCGTGCAAGACGAGAAACCCGTTTTGCAATTCTTTTTTTTTTAGAAGACGCGGTATTTTTAAAAGGGTTGACAAGTTAAAGGAATGTTTCCTACATGGCAATTGAAATTAGCCTAGCTATCCGAAAACTTACCCAACTTTCTCAGATAACCGAAAACTATCGTCACATGTAGTCTTAGCCTTAGTGCCATCTTTTGTGTCATTTGAATCAACTGAATTCGGTTGATCTGAAGTGGGTGCGAGAACGCAGTTGAACGTGTCCTCCCAGTACTCAGCAAACCAGGGATTCCTTTGATTTGTGCTTGGCGTCAGCTGCATCATATAGCGATCAAAGTCTTCAATTATCTCCGACTGGAGCTCTACGGTAATTGCGCCCTCGGCAATATCCTCCAACCCCTCAAGTAGCTTCTGTTGCTTGCCCCAGCCGTCACTGGCTATCCAATGAAACGGCTGCGATAAATTGGCGCGTTTAGCCGCCTGCAAAATCCGCCGCGCATCTTCGGCTCTCGTAAACAGCACGACCCCGCGGGCGTTGGGCTTCTTCTGAAGCTTGCCAATAATGGAGTCGAAGACTTTGTCGTCTGCGGCACTGGGCACTTTCTCGGCGACCGCTATGCACACGTGACGTTCGGTGGCTTCCTTGTGAAAAGCTTCAATTCCGTATTCACCTAATGATGGAATAACCAGGTAAGTTACGTAAAAGTCGGTGTATTGTGTCTATTTTTAATAAACTATATAAGAACACGCAAACTTATTAATTCGTGTTTTTTTTTACTTATATAAAATGTATATTTATTGGTTGTGCGTAATTTGAATATATATAATATACTTACATTAGGGTAGGTTGATTTGGGTTCCCATATTCTTTTTATCTGTTGTTCGTAAGTCACTGTTAGAATCTTATATATATATAGCATTGTTAGATTTGGGTGCCCATAAATCGTCTAATCAATATCGAATTTTCTAGATCAATATATTTCGAGGTCCTGATTTCGAATTAACGGGATAAAGTGTGCGACAAGACCGAATTCTGGCAAAATAACGGTAAAAACCGTTCATTTTGGTTTTTTGGCAATTTCTGTTAATTCTTTTGTCAAAAAACAAAATGAATATGTCAATGAATGAGACAAACAATTTAATGTCATACCCGTATTATAATATATTTTGATTATTTAATCCCAATAAGTAGCCTACTTATGCAATTTTTCATAGCAGTATTGTGATTGATTTGATTTTAAACACATACAAGTACATAGTTGGTTTAAACATACAGCTTAGAATTGTCTACAGGTAATCTGGATTTAATGTAGTATCTTAATTCTCGAGACTTACCATAAGATCCTTCCGAGTGTATTGTCGATACATAGGACCAGTTAAAATTTTTTAGTATGTCTACGAGGGCTACGGATTGAAAGGTGTCTGGAGGTACCGTTCTGGCAAAGAGATCAAAGCGCGATTTGTCCGACAGCGTTTTCGCGGTTGACGCCGGCGATATTTGAGGAATATGAAATAGTCGAAGCAAATTGGCCACTTGCAAGGACACTGAACTGTAGGATCCACCAATAACTCCGAAAACAGGTCCTGATGAAGCATTCTTCCTTAGTTGAGGGCTGGACGCATCTGAGCACTCGAACACTGACGTGTCTAAGTTGTTAAGAGATGCTCTTACGAACTGCAGCGACTGGTTGAGAGCATATGTGTCCCTGGAACAGGTGTCGAGTATATGAACCCCTATCGTTATTCCAGGAAGTATACTGGAATCGTTGTTTACGCGATCTATGGCATAGAGCATTGCCTCCAGGCGTTGAACTCCTCTATTGTATACTTTTGGGCCGCATGGAGCACCCTCACCTTTTTCATGGACGGGAAACAACCCACCAAGAATTATGTCGCCGGGCAGAGAAACGGAAACTGTATCCTGGGCATGTGCGTTGTCAGGGCTTTTTAATTCGGCCCCTGGACTCCAGGACAGAATCATCATGACTGCTAGCACTATGGTGGTATCTTTTTTCAGTCGCATCTTTACAAAAACACTTAATGTCTTTATTTCCAATTTCTTAATGCCACACAACGAAGTGCAAATACATTTTTTCGCCAATCATTGCTGAATCTTTATCAAGTTTGATCAAGATTGTGCTGAAACTAAAGAATAAAATATGGTTTATAATTTTAAGCAAGAAGGAATGCTCCAGCCGAGTATCCGACTATTAGGTACCCGTTATACAATTTTTAAATAAATATGCGAACACTTCTGTTGGCATCAAACGCTCAAAGCTTATCAGTGATCGGTTAGGATCGTTCTAGACTTTAGAAATATTACTGATCAATTAAGAGTAATAGGAATACAAAAGTAGAACGCGACCACTCGCGGCAGAAATACACAGGTTCTATCAATGCACAACGATATGCAGTTGCTCGCAGAGAACTATTTACAGGCGAAATGTTGACGTTAATAACTTCTTAGATTCGTGACTGTTCCATCTTCAAGATTAAGTGATAAAATTGTTTTCGGTTTTCGAGCGTGTGTTTTTGAAGAATTAATATCTAGTAAACATCGAGAAAACATCGGTAAATTTCAAAATGTTGTAAACTGAAGCTCTTTTTCCCGTTTCGGAAATACCCAAATTATGTTGTTTTTTTATTCCATTATACAATGACCACTTGCTTGTTTTTAGGCTTATAAAGGACAGAAGTGTACAGCAACAGGATACAATACTTTAAAATATTAATATTATATTTCTTTAAAAAGCATTTATCATCAATACGATATTTAATAAATTTCCGAACACCCTATTTTGAACGATTACAATATGGCCTTTTACAATACGAGCAACGGGGTTAAAGCATCAATAGAACATAAACAGAAAAAACAAACAAAAAATAAAATAAATCGTTCACCTAGGCTGCGATTTCAAGACTTTTACCCACTATCAAGAAAACGGACCTTAAAGTGAGTAAAAACTGGAAAAAAGGTGTTATAAATGTGGCATGGTGTTAGTTATTTGTTCACTAAAATCGATTTTTTAAGGTCCGTTTAAGAACATTTAGTAATTTATTTTTATAATTTTTAAGAACCTTTCAAACTTTATTTATGTAAACTAAAAAGGTATTATAGACGAACAGAGCAGACCATGTCTATAACCACCTGACTAGTGATGCTGGTCAAGAACATGGCCATTTTCATTAGGTCTCTTGAAACATTTAAAAAACATTTTTTTGTTACCACTTCCTGGCTCTAAAATATGTGATAAGTTTGATTTTGTCCAATTCTACAATTTTAGGATAGGTGAATAAAACCAACCTACCCGACCTATTCAACTAAATTGATACCTTGATAGTTTTGGAAAGACATCTAATAAAATGTTTATTTTTACTCAGAAATTCTCAATTTATCATAGTTTTGTTTGGTTGCTCTATAGAGAAAAACTAATTTATATCATGCAATCACAAAACTGTCTTTGCTCTTTCTTCAGTCCACATATCTTAAAACAGGGCTGCGAGTAGAAGATTCGTGTGCATGTAATTCTTACATTGCTGCTAACGGTTTAAGAGCTTCGTCCACCGGTGCGGTTCGTGTCCGCGTTAAAAGCCGTGCGATTTGGACTCTTGGGGTAAGGTGCTGAGCTGAGCGCCTTTATAGAAGAAAAAAAAAAGGAAGCTTGTGTGCAGTGCACGCGTAAACCGAAGCAGAAAAAGCTTAACCAAGAAGTACCAACAAGAATGGTTTAATGATGCCGTTCCATCGAAGCTGGGAAGCAAATGTGTTAGCGAAAGCCCCAATTAACCTTATAATGTTAAAGTTTAGAGAGTGAAAATATTGTAATAAGAATGTTTGCACAATTTAAGTTATTTCCTTTTGTCAAACAGATTTTTAATTCCTTATTTCTTTTCGTCCTTGCACATTTAGTGCGTTATTTTTATCTAACTTGGCACAATTTACGTTCCTTCCTTTTACTTATTCACCTTTTTGACGTATAGAAAATAGTGTTTAAGTCAAAATAGAATTACCTTCGTCACTTTTTAATTTCAACTGCAAATTACTTATACAACTTTAATTGCAAACTTTCTTTTTTGACATTTTTATATTTTTTGCAACACGCGTACGTCTTGTCTAAGCATTACCAGTGGGTTGACTGATTTATCCATGATAAGCCATCGCGAAATCAGTTCTTGTAGAGGCAGCAGCAGCACAACAACAACCAAGAAATCAGCACCAGCAGCGGTGGCCAAGGAAAAGAACAACAATGGCAGCAGCCATCTACAACAATCCTTCTAACTGTCCATCTCTCACGGTACTCGAGAGAAAAAGCACCACAGCGGCAGCATACAAAAGAGAAGCAACAGAAAAAATCTCTTACAAAATTCAATAACGGTGGCCCGGTATTGCCTAAGAGAGCGGTTTGCTCTTAAGGTCCCCTTGCACTAACTCCCTGTCCTGTTAGGCTTTTTCACCACATTACACACCACGTTTACACTGGGACTGCGTTGGGCAGTTCGTCTTTCATTTACCATTACAGAGAGCAATATTATACAAAATATTTACCAAGAACACTATTAATATCCTATTAAAATAAAAAAGACCTTTTACCTGGTACATCCTTTTTGGCCCTTCTACTCTACCACTTCTATTTGAAAAGTGTGCTATTTTGATACATATTCCTGTGTTCATAAAAAGAAACTATTTTATTTATTTAGTTAAGAACGCAATAACATTAAAAAAAATGTATATTACTTTTAAAAAGTTTGCAAATGCATTGCCTTTATTGCAACACATAAATCTTTTTTGTATTATATTAAATGTCATCCCAACGCTACAAATTTGGAACGCGCTTTTCAATAGTCGCAAATTTTCGCTTGAGAATGGCAAGCGCAGGAAATAGCGAATTTCAAGTTCAGGGTCAAGTCTTTGTGTGAGTCCAAGCTGGAGGTTACTAAGCTAAATTATAGATTCCAGGTCTCCTCTGCTCCTGCTTCTGAATCCCTTCAAGCTTTTCTAAATAGCCAAGGTGCCGGGTGTGGGACGTTTCAGAAGAAGGAACTTTAGACCAGAAACGGAACTTGGAAGTACGAATCTACATAGGGATTTAATTACAAAATAAAATAAAACTTAATAAGGTAAGTACAAAATGTACTTTTTGTGCCAATTTGTTTTGTAGTCTCCCAAATATCAACTACATAATGAACACATTGTAAATATAGTTGCTTATAGATCCTCATATATAATGTTATTTCATAGTCTTTTTTTAATTTTTATTAGTTATTATAGATGTGTGTATTTTTGTTATTTATTTATGTACGGTATAATATCTGACAATATCTTCAAAGGCAAAGCAATCCCTAAAAACTAACTTTGCTTTGAAAAACCGCTCTGCTGATCTGTCTTAATGATTTGAGTCTTCCACGTCTAATGGTGTGGAAGAGCATCTGGTTGGCAATGAGTTCCAAACGTAAAGTTATCTGTGGATGAGCTGTGATGATCGCGAATCCCAATTATAAAAATAAAATAAAGTTGCTTTCAAGTGTACTCCGAGAGCGACCTCTCAACGCAATAGATTCGGCGATGTACCAGATAAACTATGAGATCCAGCAACGGAGAGATTCCCATCAAGGGAATGAATTGATCTTCAACCATATTTAAGCCATTACCAAGTAGCCAATGAGTTATCTTCAGATCAGCTGAGGTGGATGTGTTCTATTGAAATCGGCGTTTAACTTTTTTTCAATAATCTCAACGGTTTTTCAGGGATGGGCTGCATTGGAACAGGGCTGCACCGCAAGAATATCGGTTAACTATCGCATATCCGTCAAAGTCCGTCAGATTTAAACGGCGGGCTAACTGGTAAGTTTTCGGAATGGCAAAACCTTATGGACCATCCCTTCAACAGATGGTGGAAGGAGGGTGGATCTCTGAGGAAATACCCTATAAGATAATGCTTCTCCGACATGTGAACGACACGAACAGCTGATCTGGGTTTGTTTACTTTTGAATTTTCGCAAATCAAAACGAAATGAATTAAAAATCATGAAATTCAGCGAGTTACGGAAATCTTTAATGCTCTGCAGGACATGCAAAATGCGACCTAGGCATTCGCCAACTTGGACGACAATTAAGGGGACCTAATGGTGTTGTTTCACGGGCTGCCAAAGGAGGCCACCACAGTATCTAATAATGAGCAAGGATCCCTATATATCTGGCTTTTTTTCCTGACAGAGATCCACCAATAATACACTGCGATTATAATTTCGAAAGAAATCAATAATTGGGCCAACCTTGCATATAAAAGCCAGCTTTTGTAGTGGTGGCACTAACGAAACATCGTTAAATATCGGTATTTTCTAGTATTTTTTCTAAAAACGTTCTGGGCGAATGATTTTTAATCGCATTTATATTAAATGCGGCATCAAGCCTTGTGGTATTACGTATATAAATGCGCATTAGGCTAAATGCCCTTTAATGCGACAATCAGGCTATAAATAAGAAGACATTGATGGTTGACGGTAATAAATAAACTGCTGCTTCACCGCATGAGATAGGAACATAGTTACTTTGAAAATTGAAGAAAATCATTTATTTAAGATCCAATAATCTAATCTAATTCACTTATCGCATAGTTAAAAATATTTCGTTGGTGCCACCATAACAACAACTGGATTTGTTATAGCCTGATTCCATTGCCGCATTAGTGGACTTTTTAAATGTGTCTGATTCCATTGGCGCATTAGCATTTAGTTAATGCTACTCCGACATGTGAGTGGCACGAACAGCTGATCTGGGCTTGTTTACTTTTGAATTTTGGCAAATACAAAAGAAATTAATTAAAATTAATGAACATGAGTGAGTTTACTAAACTCTGTAATGCTCAGCAGGACATCCATATTGCGACCGAGACATTTGCCAAATTGAACGACAAAGACGAGAAGCTGATTGCGTTGTTATGACGGGTTTGCAATGGAGGCTACCTCAGTTTCTAAAAAAGGCAAGGATCCCCGTAAATGTGGAAGTAATTTTATGCCAAAGATCCAGCAATAAAGCATTGTGGTACTGCGAGCAGAATTTGCGGCGTGCGCTCTAGGTTTCAGTCATTTTTTTACAAAATAGATTTTATATTCAAAAGACATCAAAAATTGTGCCAACCTTGCTTATAGAAAACAGCTGTTGTAGTGGTGGCACGAACAAAATATCGTTAAACATCGGTATTTTCCAGTATTTTTTCTAAAAACTTTCGGGGCGAATGGTTTTTAATCGCATTTAAAAATCGCATTTATTTTAAATGCGGCATTTAGCCTTATGGGAGTCCCTGTGTAAATAAATGCGCATTTGGCTAAATGCGTTTTAATGCGGCAATGGAATCAGGCTTTTATGCAAGGATGGCGCAATTTCGTTTGTATTTGCGACTAATTTAAAATAAGCAAACCCAGATCAGCTGCTCGTGCATTATAATAGAATCAGGCACTTTTAAAAAGTACATCAATGGAAAGAAGATGCAAAACATTTAATTAAACAGAAGAAATAAAAGGGTATTTTTTTAAATTAAATATAACTCAAGTACCAAAGCTAATGAACTCCAGTTCCAGAATAGCTATAGCGTGAATGCAGTATTACAAGTAAGATGAGAAGACGGTGAAAAAGTGAGATTCCAATTCGCACTGCTACCGTCTTCCGTCAATGTCGTCTTCTTCCTAGTGCGCAAAGCAAATTGTAATAGCTCCTTTCCACAGAGATTTATCCACCTGCCACCACCACTTGAAGAGAAGGTCCATAACATTTTGCCGTTCCAAAAATTTACCAGCTAGTCCACCATTAAATTTTAATGGACTTTGACGGACTAATTTATGCGATAGCTAGCCGACGTCTCTGCGGTGCAACTTCTTCACACACAGACCATTCCTGAAAAAACGTTGGATTTGTGAAAAAAAAAATGAAACTCCGGTTTCCACAGAGCACATCCACCCTCCATCTTCCGATTTCACCTGATCTGAACAGCTGTGGCTCATCAAAACATAAACAAATATTATGGACCTGGTGATTTTGTTTGACAAGCCACAGCTTTTCGAATCAGCTGATATCGGAAGGTGGAATATTGATGTGCTCTGTGGAAATCGGAGTTCACATTTGTCAAATACTCCAACCGTTTCCAATGGATGGAGTAGGCGGAAAATGGGCATAATATAAACTGGAAGAACTAAAAAATATGTACTTCATTGAATGCTGCCATTGTCTTGGTTGCCGATGGATAAGTTGATGACCGCATAAAAATAACAAGTAATATTAAATATGTTCTTATTTTTAAAAACTTCACATATCAATAATCGCTTTAACATAGGTCTACAATATTAACACATATTACTTTGTTTAGCTTAATTTAAATACATATTACCAATTTAATCCTAATTATATAAGCAATACATTTTAAAGTCTAATGCCCACTTTCCACACAGTCCATCCGTTGGAAACAATGGAAGGTAGATGAATCTCTGTGGAAACAGGCTATAAGCATTATTAATTTTATATGTTACTAAGTTTTTTTAAGCAATTTAGTCATAAAAAATACTTATTAAGAATCCATGCTATTAACTTACATTTTATTGATAAAAAAATTCCAAAAACGTATAACCATCGTTAAAAGTATTATATTATCTCTTCCATAAGTATCGTATAGACAGGTCCTATCGATATATCGAATAATAACTGCAACTCTGCGCCTATGAACAGAACACATTGCATGTGGAAATTAACAAAAAGTAGTTTTTGATTGTAAAGATATAAAGCTAGAATAACGGTTTGACTTATTGCTGTTTAATATACACTCAAAGTGGAATCAATATTAACCGTATTTCTGTATATAGCTCCATCGTTAAAGCACATATGCTCAGGTAAATGTGAGAGGTATAATAAGGACTGGGCAACAAATATTACATGATGACATTTTGTGCAAGTTGACTTTACCGTGCTAAGAAAAAATACAAATTAAAGCATCGACATGTGATTATTATGCTCAGAAAATACAGAATCGGTTAAAATCAATGGAACGTTTTCACTGTCGGAAGCTTTGTGATAATTTTGCTTCTCTCATTCTTACACATTTTAAGTCCTATCGCCACAACAGCAACGTCGGCAAATATGTAAAGTTAACAGGCTTGATTGGTTTTGAAAATACAAGTTGGGGAATAAGGTATTTCATGACGTATAGCCCCAACACACCTAAAAAATCAAAAAGTTTCATCTTATGCACAAAAAAAAA